AGTTTGTATTTTTGAATCCATCTCTCATCATCCACGTGGACCCCTTCTATATGTTCCAATTTCATTTAAATAAATGAGAAGGTAATAAATGCCTGTGCTGTAATTGCAATTTTTCATTACAGTTCCTAATGTATTCTGGTTTAAAAATAATGAGTCACTGATGTGGAGAGGTGTATAGCCGTCCACAAAAGCCCACTATAGCTGCTCTCAAATCGCCGTCTTTATTTCACTAGATAAACTTGGTAGCACTGCACACTGACCCTGCCTCTCTGTTCACATTTCTGGGAAAAGGCTCAGAATAACACAATTATTGAGGCGTTCTTTCCGTGAATAACTGACTTTTCTATGTTTTCTGTGACTCTGGGAAGAAGCCTATCTTATAGTCCGGGCTATACAACTGCAGTGGCCCTGAGAGTGGAGCGGCGGAGGAGGCGCTGTCTTCAAAGCACCTTGGTTTGTCTCCAAGTGTCAAAGGTGAAGACTCTCAATACCTCCATCAGGGCATAGCAGAACGGAAAGAATAACTCAAGGTTAGAGCTCCAATAGATTTTTTTTTTTTTTTTCAGAGACGTGGAGCTGCAGAATAAAACGTCAAAACTTGCTTTTGAAAACACAGGGACTTAGTTTCATGCCATGTCTCAATCTATACAGGGCAATGCGGCACAGTATAGCTTCTGCTCTCTGTGTGCACAGAACCTCTCTGCTTTAGGACAGTCAATAACAGTCAGTTATCGATACCCAGATTCTAATCAACACTAGGCCTGTCATGGTAATAAATATATATCAACTTCAACTATCAAAGTGTTTCATTTTGCTGTTTATCTATTGCAGCTCATGATTTTTAACAATATTGTGCATTTAGAATTTAGTTTTTTGTAGTTTAAATGTAGGGCCGGGCATCATTAAGAAGATGCCGATATAATACATTCCTCGATACATAGGCTATGATACGATACATATCTCAATACAGTGAGCTTTCGATTCAATATGATTCAATACAATATATTTCAAATCGATTCAATACAGTTCAATAAAAAATAAAGGTTAAATCATGGGTGTGATACTAAAATTAATATGAAACACACCCATTTTAATTATCAAAAACGGTGAATATGTCAAATGTGTTGCATAAGCGAATTTCCTTTCACTAAACAAGCAATAAAACTGTAGCTGTAACAAAATAATGTAGTAAAATATATATTAAAAAAAAATACTCTTGGCGATATATTGATACAGCAGCCCACAATATTGATACTGTATCATCACATTAAATTATACGATATATCGATATATTTCAATATTTTTGCACAACCCTATTTAAATCTGCTCTTGGGTTTTTGTGTCAGTGGCATAGTTTCATTTCAATATTATTTTTTAGTGGCTTTATGTATTTTAGCAATATATTGTCTATTGCTTATTGAATACTGTAACAACTATTGAAATACTCATTTGAATTGATACTGAAATAGAACAAACTGTCTTGTAAGACTCCACGTTAATATTACAGGAAGTACTTTATATTGTGATGAAAATGACACTCTTCTCTCTTTATTAGAGTTAGTATAAATGTTATTACAATGATTATTAAAAATGTGTATCTTATATCAAGACATTTCCTTAGAATTGCAACAGAGTTAGCGTTATAACCACACTACTCGGCATTATAGTGACTGAACTCAAGAGTCTCGGGGTGTCTGTTGGTGTCAGCCCTACTAAATGGCCTCTTACCACTGTGTTCCCCATGAATGAATAAATGCTATTACATCCTCCAAACTGTGCTTCACACAACTCTTTAAAAAGTACTTTCTGAGCATTGACCAGATTCAGAGCTGCCTTCAAGTTGTCACCACGAGTCAGTGCCTCCTCTGACGCTCTGTGCTTGTCTGGTTGGAGGTGAGAGAGACACAGTGGATTTATCTGATCTTACAAGCCATCAGAGTGAGCAGAGCGGGGCTAAACATGACCTGAAGTGTGCCGGCCCCCCAGCAAACGCCACTGTCACCTTAGCCAACCGGAGCTGTCGTTTAGCGCAACAACCCACGAGATCTGACAGCTGTGGTGTTCCCAAAACAACATCACTGCTGCATTTGGTAACACTTCACATCCCAGAGACGAGAGGCTAACGCTAAAGCCAATCCACTACTGGGGTTTTATACTGTATAGTATATCGTCTTTACTCTTTGGCCTTCAACTCTATCTGTCTTCTGGGTGTTATCTAAATAGCACACAAGGCACTCACTATGATGTCTTCTTAATCTGTGCATCTTGTATTATTTTGCAAGATGGAGTGAAATTCTGTGTTTGTAATGGACTAGAGATGCTCGATTATGGAAAAAAAACATTATCATTTCATCATATCATTTTATCAATACTGAAATCACGATTATTCAAATGATTATTTTTCAGTTACACAATGCATTTATTCAGCATTTCTCTCTCTCAAAAAAAAACCCACTTTGTTATTGATAATTTACGCAAAACTTTCAAATTGAGAATAAATATAGGATACAGATATACCTTAGAGCAGTTTTGCGATGTATAAAACATGAAATCAAACATGAAACAAGGCACAGAAAAACATAAATGTATCCAAAATTTAACTGTATATCCAGCTGTTCTACAATCTCTATATTTTAAAAAATAAAATAAATATACCTATAAAAAATATCCCAAAATAAACTTATAATAATATAATAAACTTTTAAGCTTTAATCGTTTCAGTTGAGTTATATGAGTTTGGAGATTCTTCGACACGCAAATTGAAATCGCGATCAAAATTCAATTAATGGCACAGCCTTAGAATAGACATAATTACACATTTTTAGAAAGAAAAATGAAACTAGTTAATTAATGCAAGCCTAAACTCAAGTGTGTTGATGACATTCAAATATCAAGTAACAAAAAGAAGAGACCATATATGCCTATTTAAATTCACATATGTCTTCAAAACAACCATTTCAGTGTATTCCCTACCTCGTGTAGTAATAGTTATACTAGTTGTTCTAAAGTAGACAGGTGTTTTGTGTGTTCCTTTTGAAGACAAAGATTGTTTTACCTTGACACGTTCCAATGAGCACCTTGTGTGTCATAATAATTAATTACATTAAAAGGCCCATATTATGCTATTTTCTGGTCTATTTTTACCTTCAATCTACTGAATTAAAGGTAAAGGTAGCTGTTAACTTGAAAACTACCTCTTCAGGACATCACAAGGTGGAACAGAGAATTTTGAGCTTTGGAGAATTAGACAGACATAGATAACAGAGGATTAATCAAACATGTATGAATGAAACAAAACTCAACTCCAGGTCTGTTTTTCATCATTAACATGGCTTAAAGCTCACAAGAGCCCATTTTGTGGACAGATGTAGTTGTGTTAGTACTAATACTTCATTCCTCACACTCAAGTAACTATTGTTGAATGCCAGTTGAGTACATGACTTTGAAGAAACTGTTCTTCTATTAGTGTCAATCTATAGGAAAGCCTACAATAAATATCTGATAGTAGTAGCTTTTTGGGCACTAGACTGTACAAGTTGAAATTTCCTTTGTTTGAGATACAGAGTAAAGACTTTAAGCTTCCACAGTGTCAGTATGAACGCTGTCTAAAAGTGCTTTTTGTTCCGAAGCACTACTCACAAATTGTCATTAACTATCTTCATTTTTCCTTTGTCTCCTCAACTGCCGCAGATCAGAAACATAAGGGTGAAGGTTCGTAAGAGAAAGTTTTAACTAGACAGTTGATTGAAAATTCACAACCAGAAGATAAGGATTTGAAAAAATTGCAGAACATTTAGTCAGTGTTTATTGATAAATTTAATCGCAAAGTGCTTGACTAAATTAGGTGTTTTTCTGGTTCTCTCTTGGAGTTTTGTGGAGAGTGTTATTCTTCTTAAATGACGTTTTTAATGAGGGCACGCACACACGGAGCTGCCACACACAAATGGACCTGTCAGACAGAGTTTAAATACTGATTTTTGACTATTTGTTCCTGAGCTGTTTTTAGACATCAAAACCGCGAGCGAGTGAGACGTGCCTTCTATTGATGTGTTGTTTTCATGTCACAGTCGTTACCAAAGTATCCATAGCCTTTGAAAACATTAGTTCATCTGAATTCATTTTTGCTCCTTTACGTTGGAATGAGACCAACTTTTGACAGATTTTTGCTACCAACAAGACTAAATACTTCTAAATTCTATTATGATTAGAGCAGAACATTTTGTTAATTAGTGATTTCTGATTAATTGTAAGACTTGTAAAAAACAATAGTTGTTGCAGTATCCTAGCAACACTTTTTGAAGAGGTTGTGACACTGACTATTTGCATCAATCTGAGAATCTTGTCTTTTTATTTTGACTGTTATACATACATACATGTCTTTGTACTCGGTAAGGCCTGTAGTTGGTGTAGCAGAGATAAGTTTAAGAACAAAAAAGTATGGGTGTAACAGTGCAATATCTTCAAAATACATCTCATGGTACGATATTTATTGTGATATTCTGGAAAGAGTACTAGAATTGTAGATATGCTACTTTGTTCCTTTTAAAAGACCTTTTTATTTCAACGTCTATCATTAGTTATAATCCAAGGAATTAAGATATAAAGGTGCACTAACAGTTACACTACACTGAAATGGAGCTATGTAGTTCCCTGTTCTTTTAGCTGTTACTGCAGTGAAAAATGTGTTTAAGTAAAGTTGCTTGTAATTTGGGATAATGTGACAATGACATATTTGAGAGACCTTTGATGGTACAATATCACAGTATTTCACTTAATGTCACATCCCTACAAACAAACAAACATTCAGCTAAAACAAGTGAACTGTTTTGTCAAGCTCAAAGTTGTAGTTGCGCAATTTGACAAATGTTTTCTTTGTTTATGTCTGTTTATTTTCTTGCAAGCCAATATTTTGCACCATAAACAGCCCTGACGTGTTGGTTATATAGTTTGCTTTATTGACTTTGTCCTCATCCATAGCTTTGTGTTTGTTGTGTCCCCAGCAGTTGGTTTGGAGGAGAGGCTTGGGTTCCACTACACAGATGAACAACAGAAAGGAGGACATGGAGATCTCGTCTCACTACAGGCAGCTCCTGCGTGAGCTCAACGAGCAGCGGCAGCATGGCATCCTGTGCGACGCCTGTGTCATCGTGGACGGGAAGATCTTCAAGGCCCACAAGAACGTCCTGCTGGGCTCCTCGCGCTACTTCAAGACCCTCTACTGCCAGGTACTACTCAGGGGACTGGCACCAGGCTGGGCTCTATTGATCCACTGGGGAAAATCTATTGTAACACCAGAAATGTGCATGTGATTCCAGACCTTCTCAAAACTTTAATAGAATATACATTATAATACTTACATCATTTACCTATCTTACTAATCAATTCATATCAGTGGCAAGTAATTTTGGGTAGGTCGCAGGTCGAGCATTTGTCAACTGATCTGATGGTTGCCGTTTCGAATCCCGCTCTTACAGATGAGAGTTTTGGCCAAGAAACTTAACCCACCTTGTCTCTAGTGTCTGTGTACACTGGTGTATGAATGTGTGTGTGAATGGGTGAGTGGTTCCTTGATGTGAAACACTTTGAGTGCCTTGAAGGTGGAAAAGTGCTGTATAAAAATATGACCATTTATAATTTATAATCATGATCATGGTATCACACCAACTTAGCTTTTCAGCTACAAAAACATTTTAGGTTAATACTTCTACTTATACAACCTCTGTCCACTCTAAACATTACATTTTATTCTCAGGTTAAAAAAGGAGCCGAGCCCCCTCACCAGACGACTGTCACTCACCTGGACATCGTCACGGCAACAGGTTTCAAAGCCATTTTAGACTTCATGTACTCCGCGCACCTCGCCCTCACCAGTAAAAATGTCATAGAGGTGATGTCTGCCGCCAGCTATCTGCAGATGACTGACATTGTCCAAGCCTGCCACAGCTTCATCAAAGCAGCTCTGGACATCAGCATACGCTCCGAAATGGCGGACGAGCTGGCCGACTTTGAGATGGGTGCGGTGGCAGCAGCTGGCCTGGGAGGAGGGGGTTTGCCTGGAGCTGGGAGTGTAGTTGGGGCAGGACTAGGGGGCGCTGGTGGGGCCATAGTTGGGATGGCATCTGAAGCTTTGGCATCGATCATGTCCGGCCGGAGCACATCGCCCTGGCTAGCTCGCCGAACTAGCCCCGCAAACTCGTCAGGGGATTCAGCCATCGCTAGTTGTCATGAAGGGGGTAGTACTTATGGTAAAGAGGACCAAGAAGCACCCAAAAGTCATGAAAGCCAAGAGGAGACCTGCCATGACTCCCAGCCCGCCTGGCCTCACGACTATAGACCCGTCACAGTCAAGGAGGAGCAGGTGTCCCCCGCATCGTCCTCCCACCCGCGGGACACGCAGAGGGGTGCGGCCCAGAGCCAGACGGAGCAAGGGGCGGGGCAGACGGGAAACGGAGACGGGCCTTGGCAACCATTGGCGGGGTCGGGCAGGAGGAAGAACAGAAAGAACAAGGACACGGTCAGACATATTACCCAGCAGGCCGAGCGAAACTGGGACAAAGAGCGGGACCGAGAGAGGGACAGTAGACCTGGGTCCCCTCTGCCCTCCATGCTGGCAGTGGCTGGGTGGAACTACAATGGACAAGACATCCCAGGTAAGCAACTAAACAACTTAAAGGGAAATCTGTGAATGACAACAGAGTGACTGGTGGGTGACAGGTAATTGGTGATTGAGAGAAAGCTGCACTTAAATGCATCTTAAGTAGTTTAGTTGACTAAAATATTAGATTTTCAAGGAACTTGGTGCAGTGCCAAAGTTATCCAATCATTTCATTAACAAATAGCATAGTAAATTACTGGTAATAGGCTTAGGTTAGATGTAGTAACACCTTAGCGTCCAATCTTATGTATGTGTTCTCCTGTGAACATTTGCTAATTGGCCAGACTGCAAACCAATCCAAGTTTGGTTTTCTTTTATTTTGTATGTATGCCAGGGTTATTGTATTTTAAAACGACCTCCTTTCCTCCTTGAGCAGGGAGATTAGCGAGTTTCTTCTCTAATGTGTTAGCTCTAAGATGATTATCTGAAATCTTAGTGCGAGAGGTCTGTGTAAATGTAGCCGCATAGTGCAGCCCCCTCTTACAGCACTTTATGTAACACATGCCGTTGATCCACGGACACAGACATAATATTGTTAAGAGAATTCCTTTACTCTTTTGAATACTTAAAAAGCATACCTGTCTGTGTGATATGTGTGTGCATGTGTGGGGCCCAAGGCGTCGATAGGTAGATCATTAAAAGTAAGAGAAGCTAATCCTGGGCGCATTAAGGGAGTTGGCTGTGAAATGGGCACACGCGTCGTGCAGCAAAAGAAAACAGGATAATTGAATTGACCTGGGTCACTGCACGGATTACCAGTGAGTCCTCGCCATCCCAGACTCCGCCCCTTCCCTCTCTCTCTCTCTCTCTCCCCCTCCCTCCCTCCCTCCCTCCCTCTCCCTCTCCCTCTCCCTCTCTCTCTCTCTCTCTCTCTCTTAGGAAAGGACCTCCAGAAGGGCACAGGCAAGAAAATGGGAGAGAGGGGCTAATGAGGCAGCGGAGAGACAAATTCAGAAACGAAAAACTGGTAGAAATGAAGATAGAGAGACATCAGTTTGACTTTACTAATCTTAATCAACTTCGCAGACATTTCTCAAAGTAAATCACATTGGGCCAAAAAGGAAACAATTTTTCCCCATACCTAATGAAATGATGCGACTTTTAGCAGTAGAGAAATGATAATAAGGAGATCCTTTATTTGTATGGCCGAAGCACATGACTTCCCTGACCTCCATCCAGACAGACAGGATGTGCCTACCTGTTGTCCATTTGTAAGGGGTGGTTTTGTGTTTTTAAGTGGGTCTTTGAGGAATTTTCAAACTGGTATCATGAACATTTCTTTCTATACTACTAGTAGTAGCGTCTATGTACTCTTTTTTCCTAAATGAGTAAATTGAGACTGTTGAGCAAGGTCATTATAGGCAGGATCTCAGGGGCTTAACTTGCAGGTAGTATGTAAGGGTTTGCAGTCTTAACTCCCTAAGGTCTTTAACAAAGGAGATTTTCTCACCTGCGGTTGAAAATCCGAATCAGATGCACGGACATATGGAAGGGCAGGGCATTAGACCTTTCTATTTAGAGGGTTAAAGGAACAGACAGGATGTTTTCAGTATCCAGGCAGCTACATTTGCTCTTAATTCGACCCATGTGGTGAAACATAAGCATGATATGATGACTGAGGAAGAGACTAGCAGGAAAGACACCAGATATGCAAACTAAAGTTACTAATTTACAAATGCATTTAGTCACATTAAGATTGGGTAAATGGTTAAGCAGGTTTTCTTTACACCCCTTGCCCATTAATGTGATTCAAAATTATGAAGAAAACTACTCATCTTCTTTCAGCAACTGGAAAACAGGCCATCTAGAAGCATATCATTTCAGCATTGTTTGATTAACATTGTTGTACGGTTTTGTGTATAGTCTAGCCTAATTAAGTTCATTTGGTCCCAGTAGCAGCACAGGTAAAAAGGAGAGAGGGCACCTTCACACTAAGATTAACCTAATTGCTTCATTCCTTATTGATGAGAGGTCTCCCTGTTTCGTTTAGAAACAAGGACCCAACCTGAGCTAGCTTTGAATGTTTTCTTGAAATTTATGTGGCTATTATTTATGTTGAGGGGTTGGTAAAACTAAAAGGTTGTAGATGTTTCAACTATTTTTATACCACAATTTATATATATATATATATATATATATATATATATATATATATATATATATATATATATATATATATATATATATATATATATATATATATATATAATATATATATAAATATATATAAAGTGTTTTTTATCAATATGGAAGCTGTAGTGGTTGTTTTTCTACAAAGGGCACATTAAAGGATTTATATTATGTAAAATTGAATCTTGTGAGTTTTTTGCCACGTCATAATGCTGTTGCCTTCTGAAAATCATACCTGGAGTTGTGTTTTGTTTCATTCACACATACTTAAGTAATCCTTTATTATTAATCTGTCTACATCTCCAAAGCCCAAAATGCACCTTGTGATGTCATTTAGAGGTAGTTTTCAAGTCAGCAGCTCCTTTTACCTTTATTTCAGTAGAGATTGGCACAAGGTGGAACAGAGTGTTTTCAGTCTGAGAGAAGAACCTAGCCCAAATGTACAGGATATTTATCAAACAATTATTAGAGTTATTAATTTGGGAATTACCATTGCTTAAGTGAATAACCTATGTTCTTCTATACTTTGTTTTAATTGTGCTGAGTACTTCAATGTTTATAATATTAGTTTAAGTATCTCAGCTTATATTGTATTATTATTTTACTCCTGCCGTTCTCAACATGTAACAACACTGTACATGTCTTTCCTGATGTTAAAACAAATGTTTGTGTATCCTCTCTGCACTCTATATCAAAAGTGACAGTGTTGAGATTTAAATAGCCTCGACTTATTCTTACTATGCTTTGAATAATTACTTACAATTATTTTTAGTTTGCCCCCCGTCGTGAAGTGCAGAGCTGGATTCAAAAGCATCTCCAAATCAAAGGTGTGATGTGTGGAGAAATGGCAGTAGTGTGTTCTTCAAAAATTGTCATTGATGCAGCTCACTGTATACCTCATCTCTGAATATAGTTATTTTGCTGAATGAGAAAAATGTGTTTATTCAGATTATGTGGAATGTAGTTTTTTGTGTGGCTTTGAATAACTTTGTACTGAGCACTGAAAATTCATATTAGAATTTTTCCAGTCTTCGTGTTGGTTATTTTACAAGTGCTGACTTCTGGACGTGCATTGAGAATTCATTTCTAAAGGGCAACACAAGGTTCAGCTTTTCAAATATATACATTCCTGTCTTGTCTTTTTGTCCACGCTTACCTTCAGCCATTTTAATTTGAAATGCTTTTCTCTCTCAGGAACGCTTACAAAATCAGTCTACTTTTAAATTGGATTCACAAGATATTTGAAAACTAGCATGTCTACCAGAAATAGCAAAATATAAAATGTTTTTTATCTAGTTTAGAGGTTAGTCATGATTTTGTCATACTTAAGAGATGGTTTACTTGAATTTATAGTCACGCTGGTGTCAGCCAAGTTCAATCCGGAGTTAGTATTTAGTAAGTCATAATTTAATGTCGATATTTCAAGGAGGTCCACATAACTCTCCATTTCAATATTACCAAGCAACAAATTAAATTTCAATGGAATCATGATTGAATTGGTCACAGATCGTAATTGACTTGACGGATTTTTAAACAACAGGCTAACAAATAATTATGTGGTTGTGAAAGCACGTGGTTTGGAGCAGATTTCCGATTTTCTGTGACTTTATTTTTTATGTTACATGGCTCTGGAGTAGAATTCTTTTGCTTTACTGTCTATGTGAACCCTATTATTAAACAACTTTTCCTGGTGGGTGGTCCTAACATTCTTGTTTCTATGGAGATGTTATTACTTTGTCTGGAATGTTCCACGGTATGACATTAAACATATCCATCTAGCATTTATTCATTAGGCGTGTTTCTATTGCTCCGTTGCCTCCACTATATTACATTGTGCACCTTTAAATGCCACACTTACTAGTTTTTAATATCACTGAACAGAAAATTGTGATTGATCAGTATGAGAAAAAAACAAAACGCCAAAGTCTCAGTGTTGGGAAGTAACTGAGAACATTCTCTGTACAGAGAATACATATTCAGAATGCTACTTCTGAGTAACTGATTTCTGGCACAGTTATTTTTCATTTATTGGTTACTTTTCTACAATCAAATCTATACATTACGGTATTTGATCATGCAATTTAAGCTTCAAACTGCACATCATCAGTGAGAAAAATGGACAGCACAGTTTTTGTGGAGAATGTATGTGCAATTTTGCCTGCAGCAAACATAAAGCAGTTTTTAATCCTATGTTGTGTTTTTATTCTATAATTTCAATGCTACTAGATGTAAAAGTATTGTAATTATTCAGAACACAGTACTGATTTCACCATGTATCAGAATATGTTACAAAATACATTTTAATGCAGGTGTTCAGCTTTCTGTAACTAAATATATTCTTCCCATCGCTGCCAACTCTATATTCCAACATTCAGCATTGTTATTGTATGTTGCTCTAATATCGTGCCGTCCTTCTAAGCAGCTTGTTGATCAATTGATTTGTTGTTTCCACTCGGGGCAAACATCACAAGTGTAAAATCTTGCGCGCACACACTCTCTGGTTTACGGTGACCTTTTAGTGGCAGCTGGGGGGATTTTGGCTGTGTGTGCATGGACTCGCCACTCTCACAGCTCAGAGCATCTGATTATGTTGACATGAACGCTTCAATCGCACGTGGGCTGTTCTTTCCATTTCCCTCGAGCTATAGCACATTGATTACATCGAGAAGCTTTTTTGAAATCCAACATCTTTATCTGACTGTCTTCCTGTATGACTAGCTCCTAGCCACAGCTCAACCAACACTCATAGCAATAAGAACAAGTCCACAAGTCCAGACGCTGTGGAGAATGTTTTATATGTATTGATGCTGGTTTGGGGATTGACTTAGACAAACTTTATTTATCCCAAGGGAAATGATTTGGACA